AGAGGATATTCAACTAAACCTTGAGAGAACAGGCATACCATGAAAATGTTCTACCCGTTTCAGATAGCCTGGTCAGGATCGATCAAACATGAACGACGGATGGATGTTCGTCCCCGTTCTAAGATCCCTCTTCACCCCACCCACCCCCATCCCGAAAATAAAACGGCTGCTTCCAACACACGGGCCACAGCTCTTGATCCAGTTCTTCACGAACGAGACTATGCCAGGGTCGAGCACAACGATGAAGGAGTACCTCGCTCAGGCGGGGATAAGAGAGGTCGGCGCGATGGACGACGTGGCTCAGGCGGCGAGAGATGCTGCAACCGTTTTGGAGGTGACTTTTTTTTTTTTTGTATTTTTTCGGTTTTTTTTTTCCAGTTTAGTCTCATTTATCACCATCGAGGTCCGCGCGATGGACGACGTGACACAGGCGGCGAGAGATGCAGCCACCGCCTTAGAGGTGACTTTTTTTGTGCGTGTGTGTGTGTGTGCTTTTCAGTTTTGTCCCATTTGTCATTATCGAGGTCGGCGCGATGGACGACGTGGCGCAGGCGGTGAGAGATGCAGCCACCGCCTTTGAGGTGTTTGTTTGGTGTGGTTTCGTTGGGTTGGTCTTGTCTCATTTATTACCTTCGCTGGTAAAGTGCCCAAAGAAACATTCGACATTTTCGTAAGCACTCGCTGGCAGCTCTGCGAACATTCTGGGCGTGACTCCAGAATTTTTTCGGCGAGCAACCCTAGGTGGCGTTACCTACTCTTCCTTAGCTGGCCGTCATGCCGAGTTAGCCGTATGGCCGCAATCCTTACAGAAACAGAGGGCGCGTTTGTACCAAGGACGAGGGAAGGGGGACGTGCACGTTTCGCAAGTCGCAACAATGAGATTGGCGACCCGTTTCCGTTTAGAAACAGAAAAACAGTGGATGGTTGTGGGCGCCGTCCATTGTCCTGAGCAAACATGGAACACCATCTTGTCGAGCCTGTTACCCGTAGGGGAGACAACGCCGTCTGTCTCTCGACAAATAGTGGTAGCGGCATGGGTAGGTTCTTTGCACTCGGAAGTTACCTGTGCTGTTTTGTGTTCTACGGCAAGAGAAGTGCCTGTTTTGTTTCTGTTTTGCTGAAAAAAAAGAAAACATTCTGCCCCCTCCGCGTGCTACGAAACATCTGGCGGTATCCTCTCCCGACTTTTTTGGCTCTTCATGAGTCAACTGGTGTTACGCTCTTAGCTGTCGTTCCTCTTCCTGTATTGAAAGTGTGGAACGGCTCGCTTGGTTGGTGTATTACATGCACTATTTTTCTTTACTTCCCCGCAACCTTCTCTTTCTTTCTCTCTATGATTACTATTTAGATGTTTCTTTTCCCCCCTCGTTTTTTGATGTTTTTTTTTCAATCGGGCCGTTGTTCTCAGGCGGACGACGATGGGATGGACCGCCTTCAGGGCAGCTTGGTGCAGGCGGCGATAAAACGCCTCGTGAGGGAGTTCAAGAGCAAGGTGTGTGTTTCTCTTCTTCACGCGGTTACAACTCTCAGCACGACTCTTGGTTTGATTGCACGGCGCCTTGGTGTTGCAGGAAGCTTTCTACACACATATGCACAACGGGGTTTCATCTGCTGTTAACTCTTCTGTTTTTGTGGATCTTTTCGGTTGCCGCGACTGATGTGATCTTCTTCTGTTCTCACGACACCGCGCTTCGATTCGCGCCTGTTGTCCCGCTTCCGTCGCCGTTTCCCCCGCGGCATTCCCCTCGGGAACCCGCAACATCATTCTCGGAAATACCCTTGACATCGCCCCCGGAAATGCCACGACGGAACGCAACCACCGGGAGCAGGGGACGGACGTGGTGATGATGGTGGTCGGGATGCAGGGCCGCAGGGGCGTGGAGGAAATGAGACAGAGGAGAGAGTTCGTTGAGCGCCTGGCCAACACGTGCGGGAGATTCACCGAGTCGGACGTCTCCACGAGGTACAATCTACAATATAGATACATGCAGACGCCGGTTTTTAGCGAGATGCATGCATGTTTGCTCGATATGTAGACCGCAACGAGTGCAGGAGGGCGAACGCAGTGTTGTTGCTGTTGGTGCTGCTGTTGTTGTTGTTGTTGTCATCTTCACCTCAATGACCGTTCCAACCTCCGCTCAGTACCTTTTAATATCCGTACTTGTGCTACTGATGCGGACGCCCTCCGTGGCCACAGAAATCAAAAAGCGAAATAGTAATGGACCCAACTTGGGTATGTGATCGATTTTCTTAGAGGCTGATTGAATGCTCCACAAACCGAGTGGCTGTGAAGCCCGACGGGACGCGTGCGAAAGGAAATACAGCTCTCGGTGACATTCATATATTAAACCAAACCACCCTTGACGGCATTGGTAACCTCTTGGGCGTGAAGAAATCGAGCCACAATACAAGTTAGAGAATCCATCGATCGCACAAGTGTACATACCGCCCGAGCTTTTACGGGATTGCCCTGAGCGGGGAGAACGGGGGGCTTTTTTCGAACGTCGAAAGGGCGGGGGGGCGGGGGGGGTCGGTGGATTTTTCATTCAATAATGTTGGGCAATCAGCGTCGGTCCTCGTCTATCCTGAAGGCAACGACTGCTCAATGTTCTGAATTCCAATGAGCGTAAAAGCCGGTTGTACAGGAGCCGCAAAGTCTTTCTATCTGCCTGCGTCGGGTTTGAGATGGGATGATGATACCGTCCTCTAGAAAGAAAACTCCCTACATTTTTTAGCCAACCCCTTGTTGGTATGCGAGGTCAATGGTCTAACGACTGCGGCATGCACGACTATGAGTACACCCCCCCCCCCCTGTTGGCAGAAGTTGCTCCTCCGTGAACACATCCTTCTGTGGCGTCCTAGGGCTAACTAGGGAAGCCGGTGGCTACGCCAACGGGCGCGGAGGCATGGTGGACAAGCCCCCCCTTCCGCCCTTTCTCACTGGACGATACCCTCGTCCAATCATGGTCGAGAGAAATAGTCCCTGCCCCACTCTTCTGTACACCCCCCTTTTTTTTTTTCTTGCATGCTCTCCCGGCAATCCCTAACCCTATCCCTCGTCAAAACGTCTCTCTTTCGATGGCGTCATCCGATCAGATTCGACATCAAGAGCCAATCCGGGAGCGGCGTTATGGGAGACCGGCTGGCAGACCGATGGCGCCGAATGCGCGATACAGTGCGCGACGGAATAGTTCCCGTCTGATCGTCGTTGTTCCGCTCGTGGTATCTTGCAAACCTGTGCGCATCCGGGTGCGTGTGTGTGTATTGGGGGGTTCTTCGCGTGCTGCAGCATCGAGTGCACAGACCTGCTGATTATCTAGAACTGTCAAAAATAGACATGTCTTGGTCAGACGAGAATACGCTACAAAGCACCGTGCACACGCTATTTAAAAATTTGTTGGTCCGAGGGGCTCCACTGATGGGAGGAGGGGGCGCGCGGAGGAGACTGGAAGGGGCTGTGTGTGTTTCTTGGGGTATTTAACTAGGGTGAGCAATGGAGGCACGTGTGTTGATGCTTTCGAGCTTGGCACCGACCGCGATGCGTTTTCCTGTGTACCGGAACGGTGAGATATTGCCACCAGAGTTTGTGTGTGATTTTTGGATTTGCTAAGTAGCATCGATCGCATGTACGGGTTAGGGTTACCCATAAGAAATGCCGGTTGGCTAGTCTTCTCTCCTTACGGGGCCAACACGAGACATCTGCGAGTTGGTCGTAGTCCGCTTAATTCCTCCGCCCTTACTTGTGCGTTGGGTGTTGTTTGTTCAACTGTCGAAGGTGGTGGTTGTAACAATAGTTCGCTCGTTGGGCTCTTTCGGATTGTCTATGTTCGATGTTATAGTGTTTCATTTGTTGGTTTGGGCAAACTAGTAGTGTACACCTTGCCGCTGTCGGCGTTGTCATTTTCAAATTTTTTGGTTTGTTGTTTCGTTGTTGGCACCTTGGATTGATTCGTTTGTAGAATATGCTAGACATCCGAGGTCAGTACATGTCTTAGAAAATAGTAGACAAGGGCAAGAGACGAGTGCCAAGGGAGCTCCTTGTGCTAAGAGGTCCAAGTTAATGGAGGGCATGGTCGTTGAATATATGCACCATTCGGTTGTTACCACTGCTGGTCCCCCAACGATTGTCTGAGAAGGGGACACCGTTGCTGAACGGCCGCACCGCCGCTGTTCTCGGTTGATTGCGTCCAGGACGATCGGTCTTGTCGCTCTCTGTCTCTCTCTGTCTCTCTCCCTTTCTCTCTCTTTCTCCCCTCTATCTCCATCTCTCTCCATCGCTCTCCATCTCTCTCTCTTGGAATATGCGCCGCTAGTTGCAATCGAGTGACAAGTTTCCGCCGCACCCCGAGGATCCAAAGCGTTCCCGAGATTTGACATAAAGCTGTGATTACCCGGCCCACGCTATCTCTCGAAACCTCCGCGGTGGCTGGCATGCCATTGTTTTCATGGAGTACAGGGAATCGTATCGTCGCACATGAAGTCGTTTTTGTCACTGTTTCGCCGATTGGGCCGTCTACTCGTAGTTCCCGGAGTGAACATCGTTCGACGGTTTTTATTCTTGCGCCGGAGTGGGGAACTACAACTACCAACGTGTAGGTTGGCAAGAGGAAGCCCGCTAGCGTCATTGTGTGGTGTTGGTGACTGTCGTAGGCGGAATATTGGATCCTGGACAGCAATACGCACACAGCTGACCGCGAGTTCGCGCGAACGGGATACGAAGTATTTTACCCAGATCCAACAGCGCGCGGGGGCAAAGCCCGACATGAGGAGGGGCACTTTGTCGCACGGCTTTCCCACCCGACAGCAATAGGTTTGAAGAAAACCCTTGGGAGCTGTTTTCTGTGAAATATCGGCGCTATTAGAACAATCCCTGGTCCTCTGTGTACCATGTTAAAGAGCTGAAGGGGGTCGGCAAGGCAACAACAGTCCCACAATGAACGCCTTGCCCAGCATAAGCGCGTCGTTTCGATCGGGAGGCTGGTTCCTCCTGTGGTCGGTGACACGGTTAGGACATGGACATGCGCTAACTTAGAAACCTCCGCCGGCAGGGTGCAATCGGGCAAGCAGGAAGCAGTACGCAATCCTGGGGCTCCGCAGCATCTAAACGACGGAGCCTTGTCGTCATCCAATGTGTGAGGACCAGCTTCACCATCACCACCTACTACGCAAGTACCGTGCCATCACGGTCATCAACAGCCAACCCCTTGCGATGGCACAAACGGAGAAGATCTCGGCTGACCGGTGCAGAGTCGGCTCTTCAGGGCTGTCACCCTCCTCGGCCGTTCTCGGCATACCACTCGATGAAGTCTTGTTTCAAGACCACCCCTTCCCCTGCTGGATCTAGCCGGCCCATAGCCTTCTTCAGCTTCTTGCTGCTCAGCCCAATGCCCAGCTCCTCGATTAGCTCCTCCGCCTTATTGTTTTAGGGATTTGGCACGACCAGGTGGTTGCGCGCACAATAATTAGCAATCACCGGAGGCGACAAATGTCCAATGAACGCGTCTTCTGTCAGGTACGCAAGCTGGAGGCAAAGCTCCCGAAGACTGAGAGAGGGACGGTGGTGGGGTTTCATAAACATGATACCTGCAGGGGACACGATCTTTTAGGAGGAGCGAGATCTCTTATTTAGAGTAATCTTCTCTGGATGCCACCGACGTTCCACCTAGTAGTTTTTCCTTGCCAGCCAGTGTTCGGAGAGGATAGATTGGGCGGGGATTGTCATTGTAACGGCCTAGCGTAAGATTGCCTACTGTATTTTTTCGTCTAACCTGTTGACGATCGATGGTTCCGTTGCCTTCCTCGTCGCGAGCGTCGAACTTTCGTGCGACCAATTGCTGCTCCGCCTCGAGAATCCGTTCCCTGTCTCTGTTCTGCGCGTATTGCTTCCCCTGGCCGACCATCACAAAATTGAGACACTCGTATGAGCATAACAGACGGAACTGGCACTCATACCATTTTTTTTTTTTGTCTTCATCACTTCAAATCAGCGCTCACAACACCAGTAGTGCCGTTTACTCTAACCCGTGGTCACACAGAGTATCCCTCTCTACCCTCCCCTCCTGCGGTACTTTGCCTTCGATTTTCAATGCGAGAAGAGTTCAGCATTCTCTTCCCTCTGTGTACACACGAACTAGCGCTATCCACTAGGACAGGAGCGGAAGCGAGAGAAAAACTCACGTTGCAAGAAAAGCTCGCTTGCGCCGGGATCTGAACCCCTGCCCTGACCTCGAAAGGGTTTCGGAAATACCTACTAGACCACCGGTTCTACCGGTCATACAATGCGCCACCGCAAAGCAAGAGGGGGCTTGTACCTAATAGGTTTCTGACTAGCAAACAAGCGAGACATGGCCATAGAAGCGTGCAACGGTAGTATTCACACCTGAGTGGCGAAGAATGGGTGTGCTATGAGTTCCGCTCGTCAGCGCACAATGTCTCTGGCAAATTCACTGATACATGTTCGCATCGATGTAGTCACACCTCTGAGTGGCGAAGAGTAGGTGTGCTATGATTTTAGCTCTTCAGCGCACACTTTGTCTGGTAAGTTCTCTGATATATCATTCGCATCGCTCTTGTGCCCGATCTATCCCCGCATACGCAGCCATACAGTTAGCAAATCTCTTCGATGGTTGCTTGCACGTCGCCCCGAGCCCTCTATCCGACTGCTACGTATTCGTCAGCGTTGTGTACCCACGAATAAGGTGTCTTGACAGGCTCGGATCAGACAGACGACAGTGCGACGCCCGAAGCAACCAAGAGATTTGTTTTGGGGCGTCCGCTGCACCATCCGGGTATGTATGCGTTTGTGTCTTTTTTGTTCTTTCTGGACGCATCCGGCGGTATCATTGTCGATAAACAGGGCTGCAGGAAGTGGAAGGCCACACATAAGCTGTTGTCTTTGCTTTTTTTGCATCTGCCACCACGTAGGGTCACACAGGGGAAGGGAGGGCCTCCCCAGGGACGGGCCGCTTCTCTTCGAGTCTCGGGACCACGACGACAAGGATGGGGCGGTTGAGGCACCTTCTCGACGGTCGCTTGGGCTCCGCTTTGGATCTTCTTGCCGAACAGCACTTTGATCAGACCGACGGCTCCGAACACCACACCGACCCAGTAGATGGCGACCAAGGCCACGCAGAAGGAGTAGAGCAGGGGGACTTCGTTCGCGCAGCTGTTGCCCACGCGGTCCTTGGCGATGGCCCAAGTGCCGAATATCCATCTGATGCGGTGGTCGTGGTACGCAGCAAAGCGACGGATGAGTACTGTCAGGCGGTGGTGAAAAACGTGCGATGGACTCCAAGAGCTAGGGCTTTTCTCGTGTTGGCGGGTTCTTCTGGTCGGATGTCTATTGCCTTCGTGCAAATCCAAGTTTCGCACTACTTTTCCGCCTGTTCGGTGTCGACGTCCAAGAACTTCGTGACGACAACGCTAGGCAGAGATGAAAGGGTTTGTGGAAGGTGAACAATTACTTTCTCTTGGGAGTGTTTCAACTCGCTTCGCGCAACGACGCTGTGTAGGCCACGCCTTCGATATTTTTTTATGGGATCACCACCATTGTGATGTACGTAGTTTCGGTTGAGAGTCAAGTGCAAGACAAAGCGTGTGACAACTCCGGTGACTTCACCCCGGTGACTAGGACCGAACACAAGCTCGGCCTCGTCACGATCCCCAATGAATCAATACAACACAACCCTCCACAAACGAATGATTCGAAGGAAAGTTGTCGGTACGTGCGCTCACATGGCCATGCTCATGCTGAACAACAGCAGGTACAGCAATGCCACGAAAGACAGGCTCGAAAAGGGCCGTAAGAAGCGCCTTTTTCGGCCTCGAATGGAGAAGTGGGTCTCGAACCCAAGGAACGACCAGGCAAACACCATGAGCAGCAAATAGCTGTTCACGATCGCCGCCTTGAGGAAATTGTCGATCCTGTACCCGCACCGATCGTCCGCAAGCTCGCCGACAACGTCCGCCTGCAGGTGGTGCAAACAACAAAATATCTCATTGGATGTGAGCCATGACGAGTGATTGCCCCGTAGCAGAGCTTGTTGTGATAGCTGTCACAGAAAGGTCTGAAATTCCTACGTTGGGTACGAGGATCTGAGTTGCCGAACAAAATGAATGCCGCAGGGTTGGCAGGAGCTGCGTCGGACGGTGTATTAAAGGTGGTGTCCATGGCAGAACAACTTTTTTGGGACAGGAAACTCTGACGATGCCCGACAATTCCCAGTCCATGTAGATATGCGGTTTTTCCTGAAAGGCAAACATACCGTTCCGGGAGGTTGTGCGGGTGCGTGAGGTTCTCCTTTCAAAGGGCTCACATGAGTAAATTTGGATACTCTGAGCACGCACGTTTGTGCCATGTTCAGTGGACAATAGTACAGAATCATTTATTTCACTTTCTTGACGCCAAGGGTTGTCGTACACGTGGTGTACAGCGTCCGTAAGACGCAGCTTCATCTCCGTAGATACTCCAAGCACCCGGGATTGGCTGAGTCGTTTACTTTCAGTAGATCGACTTTATATTTTCATGGAGTTACAAGACCCCAAGATCAGTAGCACACCCCTTCGCATACATGCACAGACGCAGGACATGCCCAGAAAGTCAAGTGCCTCCAACATAGAGCGGGAATGTTTCAAAGCTCAAGCGCATGTTTTGATCGAGAAGTTGTTGTTGTTGTTGTTGTTGTTGTTGTTGTTGTTGTTGTGTCCATATTAAACTCGTGCCAGTTGCTATTCCCAAAATCTACATGCAGCAAAGACTCGGTTCGTGGTCGCAGAGATGCTGGAATTAGTCTACACCCTCAAAATCGTCACGTGACCGCCGCTTGAGAGGAGTGGTGCATTCACAGCTCTGCACGAAATGTTGCAGGAACCTACATAACGTGTTGGAGGTTCGCATCTCACCTGGTGGGGCCTTCCGTTCTGGAGAATCTATGCCTATCTCTTCTATGGGACTTTTCTACACGAAAGACTGCAGATGGTAAGGGATTTACTGCCCATCAAGTCTTGCGTATACAGCAAGTGGTATAGTCTATCGCAGTACGGTGCGCAGACTCCGCTCCGCCATTAGCCTACAGGACAGTCTCTTCGTCTCAAGTCGTGAACCAGCTCTTCTCGAAACATGTGGACGGCGGCTTCACTCTCTGCTAAGAAAACATGTCTTATGTTAACCATGCCGCCACTCGCCTTCACGATGGCCCCACCAACCACGATGATCACTGTCGCCATCAAGCTCGGCATCAAAGGACCCAGCAACACGACAGACGCCCATTTTCTCTGAGTCGCCGAGCTCGCTGCTAGAGCAGCCGCTGGCGATTCGAGTTCATCATCCATGAATCACAATACGGGATCTCTCCAACCAGACCTGCTGCTTCATGTACTTGATAGCGTGCTCATACTCGCTGAGGGAAAATATGCACGCCAGGTCAACAATGAATCTCTCTCACAAACGATGCGGCGCAGTATGTGCCTGTTCGACAAACATCAGAACGGTAGACTACTGCTGAAAACTTTGAAACCGTCGGATGTCTGGGTAAGTAGATCGCGCCGCCGTGCCGCCGTTGAATTTAATCTCCTCCCTCCTCCTCCTCCTCCTCTCTCTGTCTCTCTCTAGCCCTTAGCCCCTAGTGTTAGTGTGGTGTCTATCCCTCGATGTTCCTGCTGGAGGCCGTCTGTCTGAGTTAAAGGTTGTAGCTCTTCTCGGACTACTGTACCACAGCGGACCACCAGTGAAGACAGTGAAAAAAACAAGTCGGAAACGATGCGAGACGATGGCCGTACACTGACAGCAGAAGAGTGGCAAGCGATATGGGAGGGGGAGGGAAGCAGCGAGGAAGAAGAAGGGGACAACTATGTCCTGCCAAAGATGTACCCCGGCCCAAGGATACGGTGCCCCAATTGCGGGTACTGGCAGGTAGGCGTGCGAGGGCCCAGGTACAGTAGTACTGCTGTTGCCTACTCCTGAGGGCAAAAAACTCCACATGCACAAAATAAACAACGTAGGGCTAGGGAAGAACTGCCCAGAGATTCTTGTCAAAATGAGGACCAGAATGATGGTAGCGAAAACAAGGAGGATAATGGTGAAGGTACTTCTAAATGAACTCGAGTACGAGGTTGTAGCCTAGGTAGACGCGTGCAGTTTTCTTCTGTTGCTGCTGTTTCTGTCTTTGATCCAAGGGATAGGTTAGCCTCCCCCATGCTGCCCCCTCACGGAGTCCCAGTTCATGGCAGATAGAAGTGTTTTGTGTTTTCAATCGCACTAAGACTGTCGTCTTTTCTTTGGTCAGCCGGTTCGCGCGGTCGATGCTAATAAAAAAAACACACACACATGTACGAATGCATCGCGCCGTACTTCGCCCTTGGGTGTCTTGTTATGACGGGACTGTCGGAGATGTAACTCTTGCTTCTCGCCAATCTCGCTTGCAATACTCAGGGGAACGAAGCAGTGGTGGATACGTATCGGTGGTGCATGCGCTGCTGCACCGTGCTCCAGGACCCAGCCACGTTGTTCTGGGACACCCCTCTCGGTCTAGGGCCTTTCCGAGTTGTTGCAGCGTCGTACGGCCACCCGCGAGACCCAAAGCTGGCCATCGATGTCCGCCGACAGCTGCAAACACGCGTGGTGAGTTTCTAAGCCACATACCGCACCTACCTGTACGCGCAATCAATCTTGACATGGGTCTACACTGTAGAGTAGGCACGCTGCTTGGAGTTCCTGCGAACAAGCGTTGCGGGTCGGTGCATCATCGACGCAAGACGATAGTCGATACCCCGGGTTTCTTGCAAATTCCAACAATATTTTGGGATCCCCCTGCCAAAAACATTATGATATTTCTAAGATATAGACAGACGAGTCTCAAGGATTCTGACTACATATTGCCTTGACACATCGAATTGTGCACTACAAGCCTTGCCGCATGACGCAATACTTATTCGGCACAAGCGATAGGGGGTATCGGATCGCTTGGACATAAGACGAGAGGAGAGCCTAACAGACTGGTTAGGGAACCCCTGCCCGGGCGTTCTGAAGGTTTTGCGCGTTCGGTACGTCTCTCTGGAAGGCGTCGCGAAAGGGCGGCGACGAGAGGTGTGGCTCCAAGAGTCAGAGGTACGAGTAGATCCAGAGTCTCAAGCTTTGACTAGTTAGCCCGGCCTATTAACATGTCCCTGTGGTACTGATGTGTCGCATTGTTAACTTTGTACACGCCATCCGTGGACGAGAACCTAGAAAAGGACAGTAGTGTCGCTTCGCTACAGTGGCCCGTGGCTCATAACACGAGTTCGAGGTGGCCACTTTTCCGGACAACCCGTGTTCAGACACCAAATATCCCCGCCTCATAAGCACCACCGCAATGCATGCAACCCACACAACAACAGGAGGGCCACCTTGCGGAGGCAGTATCTCTTCAAGTGCCGACGAAGCTGCCCCTCGTGGTGGTGTTCTCTGCGGTGTATGGTTCTCCCGGCGAACCTTCGCGGGGCCGTGGTAAGGTGAGACATCCACCGCAATAAACGAGCAAACGTTGATTGTGAAGCTGGACGTAGAGATTGCTGTCGCATCTTGTTCATGCCTAGAACGGGCCTCAAGTTTTTGGTTGACGCTGTTTTGTGTGTGGTACAGAAGCTGTGCAGACGTCAGCGTCAATGGCATCTGTGGATGTCTTGCTGTTGTTGCATGCAAGACTCAAATAGGACTCATAACGCTCACCAATATAACTTTGCCAGCGAATCTCTCACCCAATCATGTACTGTCTACACGCAGATGGATGTGACAGAGTTCATGCAGGGGAGGGTCGACCTCGCGGACGGAAAGTACCTCTTCATGTCTCGAAAGGAACCACTCACGGATCTCTTCGGCGACCCTTGCCCTGGCCGGGATAAATGCTTGGTGCTCCGGTACGAGATCGTTGGTACGGAAGGAAGGGCGGAGGCGATCGAGTCGGACGGACGGCTGTTGACACCAATCAGTATCAGCTGCACGTGAGAAATATGGAGCATCAATACGAATCGCCGATAAGCAATCAAGAAATAGCCCGGCGGGCAAAGAAAGTGACGGCCACCTAGTCTCGTCAACGTGCTTGAGGTAGCTTGGTGTATTTCTAAGCAACAGTCGCAAGGGACACAACGAATGTTGCTCATGAGAACCACGCCCGACAAAGATTCATGGCTGGCTCCCACCGCGGTACAGCAGTTGAGCAGGATCACAAAAAAACTCGGCAACTTGGTCAACCACGTCCACGCCCCAACCCTCTGCCCGCACAAAGCCCGACACACCTTTTGACCGAAAGCATTTCGCTTGCATTTGCTGGTACACTCCTCTATCGCCTTCGCAGGCCTATGTTGGCGCCGCTTATCCTCGTGGAATCCGCAACCTACGGGCAGACACGACAGGGCATCGATGAGCGTCTGCAATTGGTGCAGAGAGAACTTTCCGACCTGTTTGCCATCCAGAACCGCAAAGACATCGGGATGCCCCTCAGCCGAGAGGACAATAAGAGGCTCATGGGGCTCAGGCCTCTCATCAGTGATCTCGAGTGCGTTGTATCGATGGAGAAAGAGTATCATGAGACGGAAATCGTACGTAGGCCATGGACGGTGTCTGTCTCGAGCATGGATTAGAGCTAAAATGCCACAAGTTCCGGGTGTTGATGGCATCTCATTTCACGAAGGAGAAGGCGGCAAAGGCTTTGGCGTTGAAGTGTCTATGACCCCCTGAATTCCCACAAGTTTCGCCCCATCACCTTCCGCGAATGCCTGGCAAAGTGCGTTGTTCCTTCCTTTCGCCGCTGCTTTCCATTGTCCCTCAGGTTCCTGAAGAAGCTCACTCCCAGGTACGTGGATATCAGGGCGCGCCTGCAGGCGAGGGTGGAGGAGCACGGTGGGGGGCTGCTAGAGTTCGTGGCGGCTCAAACAGACGTCAATCAGCTCTTCGGGAACCCAATGCCGGGGAAAAGAAAGGAGCTGCGGGTGCGGTATCTCATCGTGGTGAGCGAGAACGCGGGTGCGAACTCTGGCATGCAATGCGCTAGAGTTCAGCCTTTTTTATGCACGTCTTACGATTCGAAAGTGTAAATAGCTATTTCCTTTACTTGTTAGTGCCAGGATCTCAGAAGACATACGTCTAATCCCTCCAACAGGAACGCCTCCGCCTGCTTGGGAAAACCATAGAGATACGACCAAGAGGACACGCGTCATCCAGCAGAATACAAAAAACACAAAAAATGAGGCCCATCTCTCCGTAGCACTCTTGACCTGTCTACTCCGAGTCTCAGACGGGGATGCGCCAACCATTTCAGATGAGCTCAAACAGATGTCTAGTCTCGTGCCCAACGGCACACGTTGGGACCACCACGCAAGGGTGACCACCACGCTTGCGATGAACGCCCCTGTTTCTTTTAATGGACATCGAAAAGTACGATATGCGGGTACGGGTTTCGTTTTTCAGATCGACGTCAAAGTGTCAGAGCATCTTCTGTGCATGTCTTTTTCATCTTTCTTTCCTGCCAGGGGCACGACAGTGAGCGGCTGACATCCCTTGAGGAGACCACATCCAGCGGTTACCCGCGAAACTTCATCTTGCAGCGCCAGGGTCAGGTGGTCGTGCAGGTGCGGGAGCGTTGTCAACGTTGATTGAGGTTCGCGTGTGTGCCGCGTGCACCAGAAGGCGTTTGTTTATGGGGATAGGGTTGAGGAGCGCCTCGGCAGAGGCCGTCGTCGGGGGGGCTTAGCTGCGCCGAGATTTTCTGCCCTGCTGCTGCTTAACATGTGTGCGCCCGAGCTGATATATCCATTGGTCGAGCTGAGGATTGATCGCCGCTTCTTTGGCGGAAGAACATTGCCGGAACGATGCATGCTGACAAAGACAAAGACACCGTTTGACAGTACAGTATTGATACCGAAACACTTGCCCAAACCCCCAAGGGTTTTTATTGGGAACAGCTCGTCGAGCAGCGTCCTGCTCACGAGGCCTCCATGTTTTACCGCCCTTTTCCTCGCAGGCGAAAGATGATGGCATGGGGAGAGGGATCCTTGAAGAGGACGTTCTCGTTGATTGTCCGAAGGTCTTATCGGTTATCGAAGTGCTCACTTCCCGCTATGGCCACCCTCGTAACCCCGCCAAGTCCTATGACATCTCGAGCAAGCTCCGGCAAATAATCGAGAGGCAGGCGAGCCAGCCACACGATGCCATACCCAACTACAGCGTTGTCGCCGTCTGGGACGAATCACGTACAGCACCCTGAAACGTTGTCACCTAGATAGTATCTTTGATATTTGCGGCAGGTTGTGGTTCGTCGAGATTAAGTGCCGGCAGTTAGTTGTGGAGGATGGCGTATTAACGACCTCTGGCTGGTGATCTCGTGGGAGAATGGTTGAAGATGAGCCACGGGTTGGTTTCGGGATCGTGAGGCGCCTATCTTCTTCCTTATTACGCTGAGGACCAACCGACCGCACTCAATGAAGAGTCCACGCTTACTCGCAAGTGGCAACGACTACAGTTCGAGCTAGCCTCGCTCAATGTATTTGGCTCATTCGTCAAGTGTGAACAAAATATTGATACATTTGTAGGAGGTCCATGGACGGTTCAAGATACGTATCTCCAAGATGATTGTGGCGCCCTCAAAACTCGGCCGACATTTTGATCTGTGCCCGTTCGTCCGTCATTCCTTCCTCTTTGCCGGCAACCAGGGTGGTGAAAAACTTGTGATCGACTGTAACACCGACCTCCAGGAGATTTTCGACGACCCCTGCCGAGGTGTGCGCAAGAAGATCAACATCACCTACGTGGCCAGGTAAACCGCCGACGTGTCGTACGACAAGCTTGCATCCCACCCAACCTTGCTTTGGCGGCATGATCTGAACTTAAACCAAGTCAGCGGAGATGTTTTATCGGTCTCTTTCTCCACTAGGTTAGATTACAACGAAGGCTAGCTTTTGATGTCAGCGTTCAGAATTGTAATATATCGACCACCTCGCTCATTCTGCTCTCCTACGTGGACCACCCATAATAACGAAACACCTCCTACCTACACCCAAACCCCATAGGGGTCTGAACGGGATCATTCGAGTGAGCGAGAAAGACCGATACCTGGTGGCCGACATCATTGTGGGATACTACAGCAGGCAGCACTTTCGGGAAAGCAAGCTTCTGGCAGAGCGTCACGGCCTTCGCACGGAGCATAAGACCAAAGAATCGACTCACCAGCACTTTCGCCGTGACGAATGGAGCGAGAGCGACAGCGACAGAGATAGCGACAGCACAAACCAAACAGTGGAGAACACCGGCAATTTGACCGTTGCCAACGCAGACGGCCTTTGTGTGCCATGTGACGAGCACGAAGATGGAAGCCTCGAGCCCCCGTTAAGATTGAAAACGTCGATGATGATGGCGGTCGGCGGTGGCGGCATGGATCCATCCGCAGTAGAGGGTAGAGGTGGAGGGAGTAGGACGCCCACGATGGCAGAGCGGAGGAGGGAGCGGCGGAGGGAGCGGCGTCAGGCCCACCAGGAAGGCGTTCGGCGGAAAGAGGCGGAGCGAGAGAGCGAGCGGCGAAGAATGCGCGCAGACAAGGCACGACGGGACCGCGAGGTAGCGCGGGCCGTCCGCGAAGCAGAAGACGCTGAGCGCTTGCGTTTGTTGAGCGAAGCGCAGGAAGCCGAGAACGCGGCCGCCGTACCGACTCGCCTGCTGCGCACCATGCAGAGGAAGGCGGCTGCGGCCATCGCAGCCGTGGCGTCGGGAGCTGGTGCCATCGCCGACGGTCGTGGCGTTGTCGGTGAGCCAGCCAAGGCCGGGACCACCCGCGATCGCCGGACACCAGGAGTGAATTTTAGCAAAGAGCCAGTTCTAGAAGAAGAGCGGCGCGACGGCGGTGGCCCGGAACAGGAAAGAAAGAGCCGTCAGCTCAGCGTCTTGGGCGATGGCGATGACGGTCCCAGCAAAACTAATTTGACCGCGACGAGGAGACGATCTCGCAAAGCCGTTGGCCACGGCCTCCCCGCGACGCCCGCGAACGCTGCACTCGCGGATCACAACGAGGAGGTCACCGCGCTTGCGGCAGAGACGCAGCATGCTGTCGCCACCGACGAGCCGAAAAAGGGCAAGCGAAAGACGAGAAGCCGGGAGGCTAGTGAAGGTTGGAGGGGAACAGCAACGGCTGCGGGTCATCCAGACGTCGAGAGGCACAACAAGGAGCGCGGCGCTTTTCCTCCGCCCCTCCCCGGTACGACCGCGCAAGCTGGTTCCGCCGTTGCCGCCACCGCCGCCAACGTCGCCTTGCCGGAACGGTCGGGGAACAAGGGAACATCCCACTCGCGTGGACACAGCAACCTTCCGCAGGGGGAAGCTAACTTGACGGCGGTCTCATCGCCACCAAAAGACGTCGGGATAGGCGGAACGACAGGTCGACCCAGACGAAAGCCGAGCGAGGAGAGGGTCGGGGAGCCCCGAGCCGTGTTTACGCATCGAGCATCAGCGATACTGCCCACCGACGAGGCCACTGGCAGTGGAGAGGCGGCCGGCATATTGGTGGAGGGTGGAAGGAGAGAGAGAAACGGGGAAAGTCATCAACGAAGGGCTAGCACCAAGGGTCGAGTAGGCTCGGTCTTGCCGAGTGAAATTGTGAACGCTGCGTAAGACGTTTTGGTTCCTGTCTGTTGTGCAAAGATGGTGAATTTCCCTTTTTCCTTCGTCCGAGCGGCAAAACCAAGTACATGTTGTAAGTAACAGGGCGCCCCACCGCCACATGAACAACCGAACGTGTTGCAAGAATTGACAAGGGGACCCTTTTCGCGACCAAGAAACCGAATCTCGTCAACAAACAAACGAGCGTGCGTGGTGGAAGGCAGTAGCAGCAGCAGCAGTAGTAGACTGATGGACTGACGTGGAATCGCTTTGCACTGGAGCCTCCAGTCGCATCGGCAATGAGCGATGTCATGAACCAAGATTTGGCACCACCATCACCCGTACCTGGACCTGCACCACGATGCCCAACGGAAGTACGATATTCATGTCCCCTCTGCATCAGCGAAGGATCAACGAACCTGACGGCGAGGAATCTGGCTACACACCAACAACGTCAGCATAAAGGTCGAGGAAAGGAGCTACTACTCAATTTGTCTCCTCCTGGATCCTTGCGCTCGAGCAGCCAAGCACCTGGCACATGCGGCGACCTTTTCTCTCCACGCACCAAACATGGTTGCGAACCAGGTACTACATCGTCTCCATCTCTCTCTGGGTCGTTGCAGCCACCGCAAGAGGATGATGACGA